TACGGAACCTAACTCAACATGGCGCAGTCGGTAGTCGGTTATCTATTACAAAATAAAGAATATTAAAATTGGAGAAATAAAAGTCAAAGTGCAAGTGAGTATACACATATGTCAACCGGTGAAAATCACCAAGAAAAAGTTAAGCGGCTACAAGTAGAGACAAATGCAACGGTTACAGAAAGTACAGCAATCTCACGTGAAGCAAAACTATTTTGCAGTGCTATACATACTCAAGAAAATAAAGTCAAAATGGAGACATCTTTTAAGTCCCCGGGTATATTAACATTCGTAGGGAAAATAAAAGAAAAGTGGACGAGATGGAAGGAAAGATTCGAATACTATTTGGTTGCCACCGGATTCAACAAAGAGCCACAAGAAAGACAAGTGGCTGTATTCTTCACGGTAATTGGTGAAGATGCTACTGAAAAATTTAAAACTTTTGGCATGTCTACAGAAAACAAAAAGGTACTTGCAGAAAGTATTTGAAGAGTACTGTACACCAAAACCAACGAGATAATTAACAGAATTTATTCTTCACGCGAGCTTAAAAAGCTCAGTGCAACGTGCGGTTTTGCCACTTTAAGAGACAGCTTAATAAGAGATCGGATTGTTTGTGGAATTCTAAGGGCAAGACTGTTAAGAGAACAATCCTTGACCTTAGATACATGTGTCAATATGTGTAAATCAAAGGAGCTTGCACAAAAACAACTTAAAAGTATCGGTGGCGATAATAAGGCAATTAATGCCATTATCCATTATCCATTATAAAAAAAAAGAAAAAAAAATAATAATGTCAAGAAAAACTACAATAAAAATCAATATTCAAACAAGAATCAAGAAAAACGAGACTGGCAAAAACAGCGGCTGAATAACGGTAAGCAGAATCAACACACCAACAGCACTAGTAGTACTACAAGCAGCGACAGAATTGGATTTGCTGAGCATGTGAAGGTGAACATCCACCGCGCATACGGAAGCAAATGTGACGTCTGTAAAGGTGTCGATGATGGCAATCCTACAAATNTTGAATGTCATTTATGTATTAATCTTATGTATTAAGTCAAGCTATAAGTAGTCCCGCTTCTAGCAAATTCCGTTCTTTTTTACTTGTCTACGGAGCGAAACCAATGTGAGTAGAGTCAACCTATGTATATAGCTTGTACTATCTGTAAATTGCATTTTTTGTATTTCTTGTCTTAGAGAATAAACCAAGTTGAGAATCCAAGTGGAAATCAAACCATACTGTTACTCGAGATTCCCCTTTATTTGTAGCAGCAGAGATTCTCCCAAGTTTATTCGAAGTACGTAAAAAAGCACAACTTTATTCTATTANGCAGCAGGGATTCTCCCAAGTTTATTCGAAGCCCGTAAAAAAGCACAACTTTATTCTATTGTCGCAATTATTGCCATTGTTCCTGTCCATTTCTGTTAATCGTCGTTCATCAAGTCTATGTCAAGCAGCCCAAATACGCCGAGAAGGAGTCAAAGGAAAAACAAAGGACTGTTGCCCGTTCGTCTTGAAGAATTTGTCGTAGAGATGTCCCCTCCTAACCCGCCAAGTGACAAAATGTCGAACGAACAATCCAGCACGCCTTCCCAGTCGCAGCAGCAGCAGAATTTGTCTGCCCAGCAACAGCGCAGTTCGGGCGCCGAAAAGCAGCAAGATTCGTCCGGTAAACAGCAAAAAACTACACCCGCCAAGATATCAACCTCGAACCCATCATCAGTACAACCACAGCCGGTAAGTGTTAACCTCGATGGGTTTAGACGCCAGTTGGATGAAATGCAAAACGAGTTCAAGCGCCAAATGTACGCCATGCAAAAGCTACTCGTTTCCAACACACAGCAACTACGCTCTGATTTTTGCAAGCTAGATCCAAATCGCCGCCAAGAACTTCCGCATCTTCGCTATTAACGTCAGAAGAGCCGCAGCCAGCACAGCCATCTACGAACTCGACCACGCAGCCAGCATGTAATTTCCCCATACCGCAATCATCGCAGACGTCATTGCCACCCGCACCGCCATCACTAACGGTGCCTCAGCCAGCACCACCCCTTACGCAAACGGCCGCGCAGCCAGCGTACGTTTGGTCGCAGCCAGCACCGCCATTTGCCCAAGCTGCCGCGCAGCCAGCGCATGCTTGGGCGCAGTCACCACCGCTATTTTCGCAAGCAGCTGCGCATCCAGCGCATGCTTGGTCGCAATCAGCAACGCGATCTCCACAGGCAGCCGCGCAGCCAGCGCATGCTTGGTTGCAGTCAACGCAACATCCATATGCACAGGCACCGCGTGTTACATCATATCTTCGCGAAGAGAGCCAGCACTCTACGAGCAGCGCTGCTAAGAAAATATATCCCCTTCCTATATTTTCAGGTCCTCCTGAAGATTGGCAGGCGTTCATCGAAACTTTCGAGGGTACGACGCTTGAATTCGAATACTCTAATTTACACAATATAATGCGCCTACGTGATGCTCTCAAAGGCCGAGCACGAAAAGCCGTGGGGTCGTTGCTGGTCAATTCTGCCAACGTAGCCGCAATCCTCGAGATACTGCGCGAAACCTTCGGACGGCCAGAACAGTTGATCAAGAGCCAAATTGAAAAAGTCAGATCGATACCGCCTTTAGTCGATGGTCACCTCGAATCTCTGGTAAATTTTGCCAACAAAATAGCAAACATGGCGACATTCCTTCAAAATGTGGACGGGTTCCACCACCTCTCTAATTCAACACTGATCAGTGAATTTGTTACTAAATTGCTGACACCACGTCAAATGCGGTGGGCGGAAAAATGTCTTCAATTGGAGCGTCCCCCAACGATTGTGGATTTCAGCAATTGGTTGAGCACGTTACGCCGCCTGGCAAACATCGTAGCCGACACGCTACCTTATGAGGGGAATCAACTGCAATTGAGAACCAAATTGGCTCAGGGTCGCCGAACTGCATCCAACAATCGTCACTACGCCTGCGTGAGCGTTTTTCACAGAATATGTCCCAATTGTGAGGGTGAGTGCGCCACTTTAAATGAATGTCTATCTTTTTTACATATGACAAGTGATGATCGTTGGAAGCAAGTGAAAGCATTAAAGCTTTGCTTCTCATGCTTAAGAAAAGGCCACCGTACGCAACAATGCTTTTCACGCAAAAGCTGTGAAAAAAACGGCTGCCGACAAGTTCACCATCATGTGCCCCACATCGATTTTGCTGGTGTACCGCCCAGACGCCGCGGAGCAGCCAATGCATCAAGCGAACTGGGAGCTGCACGACCGCAGGCAGACGCCCAAAAACATATTGAACGCCGAAATTGTCATACCGATTGCTACTCGCACAACGTCCTCTTCCAAATTTTGCCCATAAAACTGTATGGCCGAGAAAAGGTTATAACTACCTCTGCCTTCGTCGACGATGGGGCGAACGTGTCCATGATCGACCAAGACCTTGCCTTGCAAAGCTGAAATATTGGAGTTGCAATGGTTAAATGAGCAAACAAATACACAAAAAGCCGAACGTGTGACCGTAACAATCAGCGGTGTGGAAAACGATTCCGAGAAGTATGAGGTGCATAACGTTTTCAGTTCTGCAAATTTATCGTTGCCAATACAAAGCTGCCATATTTGAGAGTTAACAAAATCAGGCACAAACTTCCATCTTTTGGGATTAACACTCACCGATTATACCAACGTTAAGCCAAAGGTTATTCTAAGCCTCAATCACGCCTTTTTGACAGTCCCGATAGAAGCTCCACGCCAAACTATGGGTGCAGGGCCCATCGCAGCCAAACAAGGTTAGGCTGGGTGATTTATGGGGCCATTAACGCGACGCCTTCGTTGCAACCACTTCGTGCATTACATTTGAGGAAGGTGCAAAAATCAGAAGACGTCGCGCACAAAATGCATGACATGATGCAAAAGTATTTCGATATCGAGTCATTTGGTATTAAAGTTGATTCAAAAAAGATAATGCCTAAATCTGATGAGCGAGCGCTGGCGATTTTGGAAGCTAAAACAAAGCGATTAGGCGGCCGCTATGAATGTGGTCTTTTATGGAAAGAAAATGTGCCACCGTTCCCAGATAGTTACCAGATGGCCTTGAATCGGTTACAAAGTGTTGAGAAAAAAATGGCAGACACAAAGAGTATTCGGTAGACTATTGTGCCAAAATGAATGATTATTTGGAAAAGGGCGAAAAAATTAACCCCGCTGAAATCTAGCAAGTTACCGCTAAAACATTTTATTTGCCGCATTTTGGTGTGAGAAACCTAAATAAAAAGGGAATACGAATCGTTTTCGATGCGGCCGCCGAAGTGCAAGGAATGTCACTAAACAAAGCTCTTCTGTCAGGACCCGACATTAACAAATCACTGATTTCGATACTCTTTAAGTTCAGGCAAGCTCCAATCGCCGTCTGTGGAGACATTAAAGAGATGTTTCATCAAATTGTAACGGCCGACGAAGATAAAGACAGCCAACGGTTCCTTTGGGGAAATGGAGATCCATCAAAGCCGGTGGAAATATTCAGGATGGAGCGAATGATTTTCGGAGCCACTTGTTCACCCACAATAGCGCAGTATGTAAAAAACGTCAATGCCAAGGAATTTGCAGCAGTGAGCCCACGTGCCGTGCATGCTATCACTGAAAGGCACGAAAAGGGAGATGCTGAGCCACAACATGTCGATCTTCGATCCATTCGGCTTTCTAGTGGACTTTATGGTAAGCGCGAAAGTGTTGATGCAGGAAGTGTGGAGAGCTGGTATCGAATGGGACCAGCCATTGCCAAACGACATCTATCACAAATGGAAAATGTGGCTTAACGAATTGCCAAAGGTTGAGCAATTTCGAATTCCGCGTTGCTACGTGCGGGACTTCGAAAGTATTCCTGCAGAGTTACACATCTTCTCCGACGCAAGTGAGGAAGCGTTGGCAGCTGTGGCTTACTAGCGTGTGGTGAGTGATGGTAGGGTTATCGTTAGATTTGTTATGGCAAAGTCAAGCTGCACCATACCATACCGAAGCTTGAGCTGCAGGCTGCGGTCATGGCGCTACGGTTAAAAGAAACTATCGTATTAAACCATAATAAAATCATTAATCGCTTCTATTTCTTTACCGACTCGTATACAGTTATTCGATGANTGGACCGACTCATATACAGTTATACGATGGGTTCGAGCAGATCACCGACGATATAAACAATACGTCGCCAACAGAGTGGCAGAAATTTTAGAAGCTAGCGACATGCGAGACTGGCGGTGGTGTCCTGGACCTCTCAATCCAGCCGATGATGCCACTAGAGCGAAATTTCCGGCGAACTATAACCCGGACGGACGGTGGAAAAATGGCCCAGAATTTTTGTTGGAAGACGAGAACTTATGGCAGAAGGAATCACTTATAGCTAATAGCGAGGAGCACAGCGGAGATGAGCTGCGTGTCAAATACACTATGTCAATTGCGAGGCAAGTATACGTGATAATGCCAGATATTGATCGCTTTTCAAATTATTCTAGACTGAAACGATCTGTGGCATGGATTCATCGTTATGTTCAAAATTTGTTGAGGAAAGTGCGGCACGAAGCGCCCACTAAAGGCGAACTAACCGTTGACGAAGAGCGTCAAGCGGAAACACATCTTATAAAATTCGTCCAGGAACGAGCGTATGCCGAAGAACTTGCCGACATAAAGCGCAATGGCGCTGTTTCGACCTGCAGTACATTGGAGACACTCAACCCCTTTGTTGCAAATGATGGCATGCTGCGAGTATGCGGAAGAATAGAGAGGGCAGCGTGCACGTCGATTGAAGCGAGACAGCCGATTATATTGCCAAATAATCATAGGGTGACGCGCTTGCTTGCCGAATACTATCACGTAAAATTTTTACACATCAACGTTGCCACGGTGATGAGTGAGATTCGTCAACGGTATTGGATCCCTTCGCTTCGAAGACTGCTAAATAGCGTGCATTCGCGATGCCAACTTTGTCGCGTGAAACGTGCCAAGCCCCAGCAACCGCAAATGGGTGTTCTACCCCCTGACCGAGTGACACCATATGTTACGCCTTTCACCTATACCGGGCTTGACTTTTTTGGACCGATCAGCGTAACTATTCGTCGCCAGCGTGAGAAGAGGTGGGTCGCACTGTTCACCTGCCTCACTGTGCGCGCCATCCATTTAGAAGTGGCGACTGACCTGTCAAGTGACGCGTGCCTTATCTGCATCCGAAATTTTATTAATAGACGCGGAGTGCCCGTGGTGATAAGGAGCGACAATGGCACCAACTTTGTTGGCATTGCAAAGGAGCTGCAAGGCGTAAGTTCTTTCTTAGATTCCTCTTCTTTAACGGCCGGCTTAACGCCATTGGGCATCCGCTGGAAATTTAACACACCTGCGAATCCGAGTGAAGGTGGCGCATGGGAAAGACTCGTCCAATCAGTGAAGAAAGCGCTATTCACTATGTTGAAGGAACACTCACCACGACTCGAAACGCTGCAGAGCCTTTTAATTGAGACTGAAAACATGGTCACCGCCAGGCCGTTAACCCACCTGCCGGTGACGCCCGAGGAGCCGGAGCCATTGACTCCCAACCACTTTTTGTTGGGTGCCCCAGTGAGCATGCAGCAGTGGCGTGTGGTGCAGAATTTGAAGAACGGTATGTGGCACCAATGGGTGCGCGAATATTTACCCGAACTGACGCGGCGTACAAAGTGGTGCTTGCCAGAAAAGCCCATCCAGCCAGGATGTCTTGTTTTGATATGTGAAGCCGAATCTCCCAGGTCGCAGTGGAAGAGAGGAAGGGTGGTGGAGCTACACTACGGTAGAGACGGTGTCGCTCGCTCCGCCCATGTTACGACAAGCAGCGGAGTCTACGGAAAACCTATCTCAAGGTTAGCGGTTCTTGATGTGGAACCAGCACGAACCATTAGTGAGGCCTCCCCATCCGGGTCAGCTCACGGGGGCGGGGATGTCGATGATGGCAACCCTACAAATGTTGCAGAGCACGAATAGCGGTGTATTGTATCTGTATTTGAATGTCATTTATGTATTAATTTTATGTATTAAGTCAAGCTATAAGTAGTCCCGCTTCTAGCAAATTCCGTTCTTTTTTACTTGTCTACGGAGCGAAACCAATGTGAGTAGAGTCAACCTATGTATATAGCTTGTACTATCTGTAAATTGCATTTTTTGTATTTCTTGTCTTAGAGAATAAACCAAAGTTGAGAATCCAAGTGGAAATCAAACCATACTGTTACTCGAGATTCCCCTTTATTTGTAGCAGCAGGGATTCTCCCAAGTTTATTCGAAGCCCGTAAAAAAGCACAAAAGGGTTTAATCATTTTGCAAAATGCTGCAAAACTAAAAAGAAAGCTGTAAACTTAATTGATAATGATAATGATTATAAGGTTGATTCTCCTTTTTTCGGTTCTATAGACATACATAGATATAATATTACTGAAGAAGAAAACTGGAATGAGGTCATCAAAATAAATGATAAATACGATTTGCAAGTTAAATTGGATTCAGGTGCAAAATGTAACGTAATTACTGTAAATCATTTAAAATCATTAAATATGAAAATTTAAGATTTAGAAAAAGTTACAGGGAGAATAAAAGCATAGGGTCGTCTCTTATTAAATGCAGTAGGTTACTGTAGATTAAAAATAAAATTCAATTGCCGACCTGAATCCATGCAACCATTTGTCGTATTAAGTAACCTCGTAAATGTTTTAGAAGCTCCAGCTATAGTCGGCTTACCAACACTTCTAGAATTAAAATAATACAAACAGTTGATACAATCGTTTCCGATAACAAAATAAATGTCACTACAATAATAAAAAAATATGAAGAAGTATTTGAAGGCTTCGAATGCATTACAGATTTTGAATACGATTTAAAAATAAAACCGGACGCTAAGCCAACTATAGCTGGGGGTCGTAAAGTTTCAATTGCATTGATTGACCAAGAGAAAAATGAATTACTTAATGGAATTAGAAAAAATAATTGAGAGGCTACTGAGTCTACTGAATGGGTTCATCCCATGGGCATAACAAAAACGAAAGATGGTCAAATACGAATATGTATAAACCCAACAAAATTAAATAAGAATGTGCTTCGTCAGCACTATAAAATTCCGGATTTTGTCGATTTAATTGCAAAAATGTCGGGTGCAAAAATATTTAGTATCTTAGACGCAGATCGTGCTTTCCATCAAATTAACCAATAAAATCTCAAATTATTTAGTAATAATCACACCTTTCGGAAGGTATCGTTATTTGCGTTTACCATTTGGTATTTCGTCTGCTACAGAAGTATTCCAACAATGTTTTGAAACCATTTTTTTCGGATATAGAAGGTGTTGATATTTACGTTGATAACATACGGGTCTATGGTAAAACTTTAGAAGAACACGATCTTCGTTTAAGTAAAGTACTCGAAAGAGCCAAAGAGAGAAACATAAAATTTAATTTAAAAAAATGTAAATTTGGTTGTAACAAAATAAAATTCATGGGTCACTATTTTATGAATGAAGGTATACAAATTGATGACGAAAAGTTAAAGCAATAAATGCAATGAATCCACCTGGAAACAAATCGGAATTGGAAACCTTTTTAGGTATGTTGACCTATGTAGCAAAATTTGTCCCAAATTTAGCAGCTAAAAATGTTAGTTTAAGAGGACTAATAAAAAAATGCAGTATGGAACTGGGATAAGAATTGCAACAAAGAATTTATGGAATAAAAAAAAAATACTAACACAAGCGCCAGTTTGCAATACTATAATGTTAAAAAACCCCGTGGTTTTACGTGTAGATGCTTCTAAATATGGCCTAGGAGCAGTGCTTTTGCAAAATGGGCTTCCAATAGCATATGCAAGCAAATCTTTTTCTTCTGGCTGTTTAAAATTCCATCAATATATTTACACAAAAAAAGTCATAGTAGAATCAGATCATAAGCCATTGGAAGCCATTTTTAAAAAGCAGATTAATGATTCCCCAGTTAGACTACAAAGTATTCGACTGGAATTACGTAAATACGGTATTGAAGTCAAATATAAGCCTGGTAAAGAATTACTCTTGGCTGATGCCTTATCGAGACTAAAAAATAACAATAATGAAAAGTTAAACTTAGAAAAAGAAATAAATGTACAAGTTTGCTTTGTTACAAACAATTTGCCAATATCTTTAGACAAAAAAGATGAGTTTAAAAAAGAAATGCAAACTGATAGTGAAATGATTACACTAGCATAATACATAAAAGAAGGTTGGCCAAATAATAAAATGATGTGCCAAGTAATATTAAACAGTATTATACAATGGCTACTGAGTTAACTATAATAGATGATTTGATATTTAAAAATAATAAGCTGCTAATTCCTTATAAATTAAGAAAACATATTTTGAATCTGATTCATTACAATCACTTACGCATAGAGAAATGTAAAGATAGGGCTAGTGAAGTAGTATCTTTTGCCTACCTTAAACAATGAAATAGAAAACATGGTAAAAAATTGTGAACCTTGCTTAAAATATAAAAGCTCAAATACAAAAGAGCCTTTATTAAACCGAGAAGTTCCAAAGGGACTCTGGCAAACGTTAGGTCTAGATATATTTTTTTTCAAAAATTCAAATTGGTTGTTAACGGTTGACTACTTCAGTAAATACGTCTTCTTCTTCTTTTTTGGCGCTGTAACCGCCTAAGCGATTTTGGCCGAGTTCAGCAAAGCACGCCAGTCGTTTCTCCTCTGTGCCAACTGACGCCAATTGGAAACGCCAAGTGAAGCCAAGTCCTTCTCCACCTGATCTTTCCATCGCAGTGGGGGCCTCCTTCCTCCTCTGCTACCACCAGCGGGTTCCGAGTTGAATACTTTCAGAGCTGGAGCGTCGGTGTCCATTCGAACGACATGACCAAGCCAGCGGAGCCGCTGTATTTTAATTCGCTGCACTATGTCCATATCGTACTAAAGCTCATACAGCTCATCGTTCCATCGTCGTCCATATACCAGCACGGGCATGATGAGTGACTTATAGAGCGTGGTTTTCGTACGTCGAGAGAGGACTTTACTCCTGAATTGCCTACTCAGTCCAAAGTAGCACTTGTTAAGTAAATACGTAGTAGTTGCAAAAATAAATAATATATCAAGTGAATGTGTAATAGCTGCTCTCAAATCACAATTTTCCAGATTGGGGATACCGTTTTTAATTTACTCTGATCCGGGCCCACAGCTAGATAGTCTGGAAATAAGAAAATTTGCGAATTACTGGAATTTTAGATGGGTTACCTCGAATCCGAAACACTCTCAAAACAATGGCATGGTAGAAAGGCATATTGGGACTGTAAAAAAATGTGCAAAAAGCTTGTTGAAGAACCATCTAAAGATCCTACATTGGCACTTCTGGAGTACAGAAATACTCCCATAGGTGATGGTTTACCTTCACCGAATGAAATAATGTATAAGAGAAAATTAAGAGGTCTTCTACCTACACCTGTTGATACGAAAAGCGAGAAAGAAAACTCAGAAATAAAAGCTAAATTAACTATCAGACAATTAAAGCAGAAGAAATACTATGATAAAGAAACTCACAATTAAAAAAATTTAAAAATAGGTGATAAAGTTTATGTTCGCAAAGAATTAAATAAGCCATTAGAACCAGCAGAGATAACAAACACTTGTAGTAGACCAAGATCTTTTGAAGTTAAGTTAAAAAAAAACAATAATACAATTGAAAGAAACAGAAAGTATTTATTTGGTCCTGTAAGAAAAAACAATGAAAAAGCTAATTGTAACACAAGACCGAAAGAATATTACAGTAATGATAAAAGATATTATTTTAATGAAATATTTAATAATCACAATTTTAACTTTAAGGAAAGAAATGTTTGTAATGGGAGAAATGAAGTTGTCCAAAGCCATG